GTATGATCAAGAGGACAGCGCGATTAGCCATGTAAACCGTGAGAAGTGACGTACATTCGTTTCCGTCTTGTCGTTGGCAGTAATGGGGAAATGGAAACAGGGGTTGATTAAAAAAAAGTAGAGAGTTGGCTAAACACTAGAAGATACAAGGTACAAGAAAGAACGAGAAAAAAAATAGGAGAGGAACGGGAAAAACCGGACGCATATACAGAAAAATGAGAACCAAAAAGAGAAAGTAAAGAGAGGAACGAGAAAAGAAAAACAGAGGTGATCAAGAAGATTAAATAATTAAGAGAGTGACAAAGAAAAGAAGAGAAAAAACTAACAAGGTGAACGGAACGAGAGGAGAAAGAACTATGAAAGAAAAGGAGGAAAAGAGGAGAGAAGAAAAAGAGGAAAAAATGGTGTGAAAGAGAAGAATAGGAAGTAAAAGATAAACTAAAATGAAAAAACTGAAAAATACAGGGAAAAGGAAAAAGAAAAAACAGGATACGAAGTATGACGCATAAAATGAGCAAAATTGATAAAGCGAGTGAAAATGGAACAGAAGATTGCAAATACGAGGTAGTGGAAAGTAAAAATAGGTAAGGAAGAAGAATGAGGAGGAATTGGGCAAGGAAAGAGAAAACTTGCAAAATAAAATCAAAGAAAATAAATCGAAAAGAGAGGAGAGCGAAAAAGAAAACAATATGAAAGCATATGCGAATCAACGAAGAAGACGAGATAATGAAAGAGAATTCTACACTTGCTAAGATGATAATCAGCTTTTGCTGTTACAGTTACAGTCGAGTATAAGTGAATGAAGAAGAAAAACGGACGATAAAACAGACTCTTATTTCTTGAAAAAACAGTAAAGTTGACCGTCCTTGTCCATTATGCCGTTCGATACGTGAAAATACGCGTGCTTGTCGCTCTGGTAGGACATTCAGTTCCACAGTAATTAAGCAGCACCCCCCCCCAAATAACCACAGTTCGACAAGTCATTTGCAGCCAGATGTTCGTTTAAGCAAGCTAGCATGAGGAGTCTTGCCTTTCTCCCTACTGGAAGAAAGAAAACTAAGCAGAAACAACGCGTAAGATTGTGAAACTATCGCAACGAAGACGTCAAGCCAACAGAAATCAGTTTGTACGCAGATATGCAAGAACCGAAAGTCAGAAAGTTCGACGACTGCATTCATCGCCATTTAGTTTGGCAACATTGAAGACAAGTCCGTATAACCTATTGAAAAACTTTTTTTGTCGTTTCAGTTTCAATTTCTTTCATATTTATATGTTTATACAGCTGATTCTCGTTTAACAGGTTGCTGTTGTTGAGATCAAAACGCTGAAAACCCTTGGATAAGCAGATCGTCTTTGGCTTGTTATATCGATTGTACTCCAAGATTTTCAACACATTACATACTCGTCTTAGAAGGAATAGTTACCCTCTAACGGTAGATCTATCTGTACCTCATCCCTCATGTTACATACTTTTAATGTTTAGTTCCTGGCTGACGTTTGTCAAGTTTCAAAAAAGTACATGAGCTGGAATAAAAATTTACGATCAAGTAGTCGGTCTAAAACTTGATGACAATGACGATGATACCGAAAAATACCTAGGGGAACGGCGATCGCTCGGCTGGACGGCGTTGAGGTTGACGGCCACCGACTCGTTGAGCAGCCTTGAGCTACGGCATATGCGCTTCGCCTCGTTTTCGAAGTAGCTGACGAATGCGTCGACGAACTTCTCGGCGACGATCTGCTCGTTGACCAGGTTCATCGTCGACGGGTTTTCGGTCAGATAGTTGTGCCAGCTCTGAGCGAAGTCGTAGGCAGCGAACTTGGCGCAAGCCTCGCAGAACTCGGTCCACATCAACGACTTCAGCTGGCTCGAGTCCTTGACGTTCACGTCGACGTCCGTGTCGCTGACCATCGCTTTGTCGTCCTCGTCGTCGTCGTCCTCGTCGAGTACCGGCACCAGCACCACAACGCATCCAGCCTTTCAGCCACAACTGCAACAGCGATCGTTATTTATACACAGAAATATCAAACAACGAATTAGGCGTCTAGAGCAACAAGCGCTAAAGTCGTCAGCTACGGTTACATCATTAACAATTAATCAATCACCTGCATAAACAGACAGTCGATTTAATTTCTAAACGTACCGAAACGGCGACCGTTAATCCCACGGCAGTCTCCAGATTCAACTCAACGCTTCAAATTAACGATTTTAAAGTTGGTCTAATGCAACACATCTTTCATTCGTCGCTGCGTTCATCAGTTTATCTTATGAGATCATTCACCCTTGCGTTCTTATTTGAAAGTACCATGAAAGACTTAGGACGCGAGGGAGAGTTTTTATATATCCAGTAGTCATAATCGTTCAATGGCTTATGAACATCTGTGACAGTAGTTCGAATATCAATCACCTAGATATTGAACTATAATAGATCGGTGCCATGACACGTCAGAATCACAATTCATGAAATGTTATGATTGTAAACAGCTCATCGCGTGGAAAAAGCCAAGAAAGCTTTTGCACAGCGAAGGCCGTCTACTGGGCTTCTGCAAAGTTCCGTGATGCTTGCTTGTAGCTAAGTCAATAATGATCTTCTTTATGCTTTCAGGAACGCTTTGAACTCAATAAATTAGTCACTTAATCAGAGTGGTAACCTGTTATTCAGCTGGTGGCGATAGTGTCCAGTAACCACATCAGGATATTCTGACACTGGACAAATGAGGTTTCTCGTCTCATGGGGTTTATTAAATGCTGCAATGCCTAACTAATTAGTTGTATTCTGCAAGAAGAGCAAACACTGGTGGAATTCAGCCATTTCTAATCAAGGCCGGTCGCCACATATCTTTGAATACGCCGCTTCGACAAGTTTTGCTTTGCCTACAGACGATACTACAGCAGAGTCGATAATACTGTCAATATAGTAGCGTATTTGGTTCTCTTCTCCTATTTGACAATTTTATTTCTTTTCCTACTCACTTTTCCTCTTGTTCTTTATTCCATCTTTCGCCTTCTCGCTACTCATCTTATGCTTTTCTTCTATCTATTTTCCTGATTATTTTGTCATTTTCTTCAATCTTCATTTTCTCCTCCTCTCCTTTCATATGTTCTTTATCGAGTTCGGGTTTCCGCAAATGCTATCTCGTTATTCGCACG